CGACGGCGAAAAAGCGTTGATCTCTCTCAAAAATCGTTTTCTTGTACCTCAAAACAACTTTTCGCCATACATTTCCTTCTAGCGACTAGCAATGTTTGCAACCTGACGATCCCAGAGTTCTTCGCGCAAACGCGGGTATCCGATTACTGGCAACTCATTCATCAGCGAGGTTCCTTAGTAACGAGATGTGCGTGATTTACCAGAAGATAATCGAGAATTTTTAAAAATAGTACGATACTACGAAGCTCAGTGTAAATTTACCTGGGAATTATTCTGTTTAACTCTTTATTAAACGTTTTTCTTTTTCTTTCAAGCCTGCTTCCACAACGGAGAGCACTTGTCCCCCGGAGATCAATGGCAAAAGGTTTCTGGAGACGAGTGTGTAACATGCACGTGCAGAAAAGACGGCACTGCAAACTGCACGAGAATGCCGGGAAGCTGTCAGTCAGGTTGGAACCCAATAAAACGCTTTCACATCACGTCATGGCAGCCATATTAGGCATATTAATTTTCTTGAAATTTGTCCCCTCGGGGCAGGAATTTTTTTTTTTAATCCTTACAATTTCTTTTGCAAAGTTATTTTGCCGTGGTACATGAAAACGATATACCAAAAGACAACAGGGGGCGCAAAAACAATCTTCACTGCGTCCGAGAAAATCACAAATCTTAATTTCCCCACTTATATAACCTGCTAAGGGTTATTTGAATCAACTTAAGGCATGAATAGAGAAATAAAGAAAATCACTTCAAGATAAAAAAAATTCTTATTCTCTTATTCCGTGTATTATTTTTTATTGCTTTTCTTTTTATCTTTCACATAAATCAGTCTTATATGGAATATCAAGGTTTAATTTTAATTTCTTGTTAATTCTATTTTCAGAATGAGATGGACAGTGGCTTTGTGCAACATCAATTGTTTAAATGCATTGGATGGGAATCAAATAAATAGTGATGAAGTTCTACATCTGTAAATTAAAATTAAAATGCACTTAATGCGACAGAATATAAACCTTCAATTGAAAACTGAGTCAGTTTACTCTCGGTTGATTGATCTTAAGGAGCTCAGTCACGATATTTTGAGTTATTTTGGCCAAGTACAAAATTACCTTTAAATTGAAGGAAAACTGAACATAATAGTTTACTATAAGATAGAATGGCACTATGGAGATCATAATAACCCATAAAGAATTCGAAACAAGGATGGTTAAGGATGGTGGAGATATATTGACACGGTTGGAAACGACGAACTTAAAAAAATTTGGCTAATCTTGTCAAGATGCTCAAGTCGTGGCGTAGCTCCTTTAATGTGTATCACGCGAATCCCTCCGTTTTGGACATGTGCTCAATGGCAAATCACTCGTTTGGATTTGACTTCATTTTTGTGGGATCACTGGGTTCCAGCTATCTCAGTTTGAGCTCTGGGCGACTGGGGATCGATTATTGTCAGTGTTGTGTTCCCAGATAAGATACTTTACAGTGATAGTACCTCTCTGAGACAGCCCGAGCAATTCTCAAATCTGAATCTCTCGATCCGGGATTCAACCATCAACTAGACCACTGTGCCTTTCAAGAGCCAGAATAACCTGGGACTCATTGGCTCAATTTAGGACATTTAGGACGAACTTGGGCAAAGCAGGGAAGCTCGTCTGAAGAAGAAGCTAGAAGGCAAGAAAAAGAAAAAGAAGCTAGAGTCTCCCCATTCTTATGCTTCTTTCGTGCTTGGCAACATCCCGCGTGCATCCATAACTCGATGGTTGCACGCTGGACGGTTACCATTTCTTAAATCACAGTGAGAATCTTAAGTTTCAATTGATTAAGAAATGACTTCTGTGGAATGCCGCGTTCGTCTAGATCGTTCACCTCTCGCCTTCTTTACAAGTTCGCCTTGCTATGTAGTTCACTCGACAGATAACTTGGGAAAATCTGCTTTTGTAGGTAATAATGAAGCTTAATTCGGTCTTTTAAAATCGCGCACACGCATAAGCCGGTGA